TCAATAGAGATTGTCATCTATCAATAATAATCTATTATTTGACACTTTAATCAGAGTCCAAGGTGAGAGTTAGGGGGTTGCAGTCTTGGACCCTTGTCCCCCACATAATTAGATCTTTTATATATTACCGTAATAGGTACAGTCTTATAAAATATATTTATTTTAAACAACATTAAATAATAATGCTACTAATACATTTATGGTATAATTTATTTAGAATCTTAAATTATAAAAAATTACCGAATTTATAATTTAAGATAAGGGGCCCACCAAAAAATTAGCACCCTTCCAAGGTTTAAAAATACTTAATTTGGGCTATGATTATAATACTATTTAATATCATACCAAACATTCAAGAGTTAATTGAATAATAATTATAGTCATTTAAGACTGAAAATTTATGTTTGCATCAAATTTATAGGATTGTAATTTTTTTTAAATTGTTGATAAAAATTTAAGGATTTATCCAAAAACTTGAAAATTAAATACAAAATCTCTCATAAAACCTTCTTTCAAAAATATTCATTAAAATTCAAAAATTACCTTATAGATAAAATGTGCAAGTAATAGGCTTATAAGTTATGGGTGCTATGATGATTTGAAAATTTTKATAATTAATATTAATCTATCAACATTAATAATTGGCCCAAGTATAATAACTACTAGTTCCAATATGCATCTATTTCATATGTTTTTAAAACGATTTTCATGGACTAATACGTATCTTTAGTGTAAACATTTTAATAACTAAGAAACTACAAATATGAATTTTAATTTTTAACTAGGTAAACAGTAAACAGTAGAAAGGAAGATACTCAAAAAGTCGTATCGCCAAAAGACACTTCTTAAGTTGTACATAACAATTTAAGAATTAAAAAAAATTTTTATCGAGTATTTTTTAAATTTCCAAAAATTACAATTTGTATAAATTCATTATTGAAGGAAAAAATAGAGCTGAGCATGCTTTTGAATCACTCTATGAAAAAAAAATAGTATTTTTACTTACGCTTCTAAATTGTTTTTATGGAGCTGAAGTAATTCTGCATGCAATTTAACATATGTTGCTTCAAGTTTTCTTTTTTCTTTTTCAGTTTGAATTTCTTTTTCTTTTCGTTTCAATCTACATAGTCGAGCCGCCTCGTTATTCTTCTGACGCTTTATGTAATAATTGGCATCACGACCGGTAGAACTCATGTTGAATCACAAGAAGTTGCAAAACAAAATTTATTCGATTTTTAAAAAACTGTGGTTAAACGTTTAACTTTAAAAAAATAAAAATGCTCGTTTTTTCAACGATGTAAGCTTATAATCACAGAAAGGTCTATCCTTGTTAAATTTAAATTGTGAAATGAATGTATTTCACAGCGTTCAAATAATTTAAGCATCATCAGTATTTCTCTAATGTCCCTAAATTGAATAGATTTCCTGTTAATTCTTCAGTCCCATTAATGGAAACATAATATAATACACTGACATTATAATTTTCTGTAAATTACAAGATGTTATAAAAACTCATTTAAAAACTATTAATGCTTCTATGTATACAGTTGGTTAAGTGTATAGGTACCTAAATATTTTTAATATAGAACATGGGTAGGTACATAATATGCTAGTATATACCTATCTAGTATCTATATAAAAATATGCCAAGCTGCTGACCATTGTTGCAATGAATAATAAATTAATTTATATGTAATGTATGTGTGTATTCAGTGGTGAAACGACCATGGTATTTGAGAAGCGATTGCTTCTCGATTTTTTAAGGTTTGGGAATGGGTGGGTGCCGTGGGTCGTGGTTGAAAATATGAAAGTGAATAACCGTAACAAAGTACCTATTAGTATTGCAGGTATTTATGACAATTTATAGATATATTATAAGGTATAGGTAGTATGGGTAATAGCACTTAGTATGGGTGGATGGGTGTGTAAATTTTAAGTTTGCTTATGGGTTACTTTAGGTTCGTTTCGCCACTGTGTGTATTAATACCCCCTCTATCACCTATGTTATGGTTCTTTTTTAAAATATTGTTTAAGAGGTATTATGGTATAATAGTCATGGGCATACTAATAATGGTGGGGTTGGTGAGTAAGATATGGTGTTGTTAATGGTGGTTGTGGTAAACGGTTCAAGATCTAGATTCCTAAAGTACCGAAATTGTTAGCGTTTCTCTGGACGACAAATTTTAGATCATATAGATATAATCTGTTTATGAAATAAACATACATTATACTTTTTATAAGTATTTCATGACAAATGAGTTGAAAAAAATCTCCAATGGTAGGGGAAAGGTGGGTAAAATGGGGTAGTCGGGTAAAACAGGCCACAGGGTATAGGTGTTATTGGTCACACTGAGAATCGATTGATGATAACTAAATCGTAAATTATCAATACAATGATTATCAAAACATCTGATGTTTAAATATTTGTTCTAAATCAAATATTCTTATAACAAAAAAAAAAATTAAACTTTTAGCGTGTAGTGTAGAAACTATTTCACTGTCAGTGATTCACGTTTTTATGGTCTCCATTCGGATATTAGTAACAGTTAATCATTATTATTAATTTAGTACTTTATAAGCTTTGTTTTTAAAAAACTCCAAGTTAAATCGTCAAATCTAAATTTTCATAGAAAATATTTTGTGTGACTTGTTAGTTTTGTTTAAAATGGGGTACCCCATTTTTAACTACTTTATTTTAAGCTTGGTTTTCATAACTCTTAAGACAGTCATTTTATTTTATGTATGATGTGTTTACTAATTAAAACTAAATAAAAGAATATAATGAAAAGAAATATTAATTTTAAGGACATTTTAACTATTCCCCATTTTACCCAACCAAGTACCCCATTTTAACCTACCATTCGGCTAAAATGGGGCAAAATAAATTTTTTTTTTAAATAAAAAAACTATTAGATGACTATACAATTTAATTACATAGATGTTTAGTGTACATATTAAAGAAAGTTCTTTGGTTTAGAAAAGTTCATAAAGTTCAACAGTTTAAGGGGTGAAGGCTATTTTCCCTTATGGTCCCCATTTTACCCACCTTTCCCCTACTCTTCTAAAAACGGAATTCCAACTTAATCATCGAGGTGTTCAGTACCTATACACAAATCAATTAGGATTGAATATGTTGGAGTTCTTAAGCGTTTTTATATTCTTGCTTCAATAAAAGATTGATATTAATAAATAATTTCTTTAAATACTAATCAAAAATAATTAGCAATAAAAAATATCATTTGAATTTCTTATGATTGTTTCGACGCCATTTTAAAAATATTTTATTGTAACTCCGAAAATTGCTTTGTCTCTTACTTTTAAAATTCATAAAAAAGGTAATCAGTACTAAGAAGATATTAGTAAAAATCAATAACTGCAGGTATTCAAAAATTTATCATTGACTGTCCTAAGTAGTCAAGTCTGGTTAACACGGGAAGGAAAATGTTAGTTTAGTGTAGTATACTAACAAAAATTCTGGGATCTAACTAATTTAGGAATTAATATTTTGAGACCCACCTCTAATACAGCCTTAGAAGCTAACGACTTTTTAGTTTGTCAATACTTAAAATTTTTATCTGAGATAATCGTTTAAGTTAACCCTCCCCCATCCCGAAGGCTTATATAATATGATGATCAAGGTAGTCACTACAATGTTACTGATTTTTTTTACCTTGCTGTTTCCAGTTGGAGAAACCCGACGTCAAGACGACGTGCTAGTGGTCCGCAGCGGCCGAGTGTTGACGTTGTCGGAATGGCATAGCGTAAGAGTGGGACGGTATCGCCGTAAGCTGTACCTGTGGGTCGATGGGATGGTCAACTATGCTGTCCTACAGCCATCGGAGGGCATTTCGAATTTTGACAATCTCATATACTTCGGTAAGTATTAAACCTGTGAGAATACAAGGCCGTTCTTAGGATTTGAGAGTCCTAATGAAAAATGATGACAAAGATTATAACATACAGATATATTTTTATTTACAATTGACTTTTTACAAAACCCACTTAGGTACCAAGTTTTGCTTTATCCAAGTTACAGTAGAAGCAGAAAAAATATTGTAGTCATTGAATACACGAATAAGCATAKTAAAGCTTTACAGTGGCAGCTATGCTTCATTGATTATCTGTATTGGACTTATTAAATTAATTAATACCTATACTATTATTCAGTGAAAATTGTATCATTCGATACAATTATTRAAATACAGGATAGACTGATATAAATTAAATACGAATGATACCATATCTCCAAGAAGCAAATTCTATAAATAGCGCATAGAATAATAATAGCCATAATACCTACATTTGAACATTTCTAAACAAATATTTCACTATTTTTTCTAAGGAACATAAAATTTCAAATGCTTTTAAATTATATTGTACTCATAAGTCAAAATCAATTCTAATATTCAATTTTCAAAGCTGAAGATGTTGATCTAAATAAAAAGCCCAAGGCCCTGAGCATCACCTAACTTGGTGCGTCTTTATCCTCCCAAGACCACAAAACATGGTCAACGAGCCACACTGATCAGACAGTTTGATTAGACGTCATTGAGTGTCAACACATATCAATTATATTAAATAAATACCTAATTAAAAACCTACCCATAATAATCGATTTTTACATTGGTTTAGGTGGTTTGCCAGATCTGTCCCGCATGCCAACCGGCTCCACGGCCGGACTTCCGGTTCCATTTGCCGGATGTATACGTAGATTATCTATCGACTACGAGACGATAACACTCAACTATTCGTCGATCGCAGCTGGCAGGAATATTGCTGATTGCGACGGGACACCGTGCGGCGGCGACTTGTGTCATCACGGCGGAAGCTGTTGGTTGGATATGGACATGAAACCGCATTGCCATTGCCTTCAGGTGCGTTATCGTTTTTATTTTTCTATTATATTATACGCGTTTCCGATGCCATCTTAAATGTAAGTGTATAAATATCGATTTAATCATCAAGGAGTTCACCGGAGACTCGTGTAACATTCAAGCGCCCTGCACCGAATTCAAGTGCCAGAATAAAGGCCACTGTGTAAGTGAAAGCGGAAATACATCATTCGTGTGCAAATGCCCTCCAGGCTGGGATGGTCCATTTTGTACAAAAGGTATATTCCGAAACAATATTGCAACAAATATTTTTATTCGAAATAATATTGCTTAAAACTGTGCTGCCATAAACCTTTTCAGCAGTGCCTATAGGTTATCTACTTCCAATATTAGGGAGTTCTAGAAAATAAAATAAATGTATTTAATGTTGAGGTTGGGTGGCCCAATAATTTTTATTTTATATTTAGTTCATAAATAGTTAAGATTAATCAAAAAATTTAATTAATGATTTTTCATAAGTAGTTTTTTTGGAATTAATTATTAATGTATGCATTTTTGCAATTTTTTTTTTATGTACATATGAGATTCAAATTTTGACCAAAATAGATATTTTTACTACCAACTATAAAATATAGTTTATAGTATTATTAGTATTATATAGTACTCATTAGAACACCTATTAAAGTTAGATTTAATCTAAAAGTTCTAACTATTAGAGTATTATACTAGGTCGGGTAGGAAATTGAAAGTCAATTTTTTTACATGTCAAGGTTCTGTAATCACTATATAAAAAAAAATATAAACATAAATACCTACATAATTATAAAATACCAAAAACAAAAATAAATAATGTTACAAAACATAATAAAATTAGATTATTCAAATTAAAAATGCTAGGATTTGATTATAATAATGTGGAGCATTGATATTAAATATTATAGCAAGATCAAATAAATTTGGGTAAATTACGGCACAAAGTTTGAATACATTTTACATTCAAATAACTGAAAACAAATTTCCTACCAATTTATAGGTTCCCATATTTAAATTTAGAAGCAATTATTTAGAGTAGAACCTTATTAATCCGGATGAATAGGTGCTGTAGGTTGTCCGATTTAATGAAAGTCCGGATTAGACAAAATAACCAAAAAACATGTCTCTATTATAGATTTAAGAATATTATATTAAACTAATTACCATATAATATGATATATTGCAACAATGCACCATAATATTAGATCTAGCAAAAACATTACTTATCAACGTAATACATGTAATCATAATTATTATATATTTAGGCACACTTTCATTAACTGGTTTGAAAAAACTGGTAGACTTTTGTTGTCTTCCTTTCGCATTTATTTCTCGTATTAATAATTCATGTAGATGCCTCAAACGTTATGTACAGATATTATGTTTTCATCGTCGTTATCTCAACAGGATCTATTTAGGGACAATATTTAGATGGTCTTTAATTTCACCAAGTTTTAGCTTAGACTTGATACTATCGTCTACTTCATCTTGTTCGTATATTCATCCGTTTCAAAGTTTTCTGCAGTGGTGAGGCTTTCAAAAATCTCTTCTTTTGTTAAAATGTGATAGCTATTATGTTTATTTTAATATACGGCATATAATGCGTATTTTTCGTAATATTAGACAACTGTCCGGATTAAGCGAATTCCGGACAAATGGGGTCCAGATTAATGGGGTTCTACTGTATTTGATAAAATTATTGCTAAAAATATTTTTGGAAAGCTCCAAAAATAAAGTTACATATATATATAAACAGTTCAAAGTTTTAAATAGTATTTTGAGTATCTTAAAAGTATTATAATGTATTGTTTACATAATTCTATTTAACTATGATAAAAATTGATGTGATCCCTTTTAGAGCTTCCAACTGGTCCACCACTATTCAAAGGACATGGATATTTAATTCTTAGCAAACTGTCCTCATTAACTAAAAGAGAAGGTAATGATGATGCGACTGTGGATAACGAAACACAATTTATAAGTTTAAACTTTTCAACGGTATATGACAATGGATTGCTAATTTGGACATCACAGGTATTCACTTTAATGATCTTCACACACAACCCATAAAATGTAGGTACTATTTAGTAACTTATATAGTATTAAAAATATTTTTTTTATTTGAAGGAAGAGTGGTACATGGGTTTAGGAATAATTAATGGATCATTGACAGTGACATGGGCGCGAAATTATAAAAGACCCAATAAACTGACAGCACCGAAGTTGAACATAACCAATAGTGAATGGCATACGGTGAGGTTGAATGTCACAAAATCAGATATAACATTAGAGTTAGACAATTGGATATCAGATCCATATCACCACAATATAGATTCATTCAATTTAAATGATAATATAATTTATCTAGGTAATAAATAAATGTAGAAATATTGTTCATATTTTCTTACAAAAAATATTTTTATAGGAGGAGTTCCAGAAGAGAAATTATTTTTAAATGATAGACAAGAGTTATTTAAAAGCAATTTTCGAGGATGCATCGAACAACTRASTGTTCAAGAAAATGTTATAACTGATTTCAAACACTATGAGAGCGTAAATGTAGATGTGTGTGATACATGGTGAATAATGTCAGTTACATAAATGTGAGCAAAATAATCAATTCTAAAGAATCAGTCAATCAGAATTTCAATCAGTCAATCAATATACTTATGTTTATTATTAATATTATGTTTTTTCTACATTGTCAATTTTTAAATGATATCTTTTCCTATCTTCGGAAGTGATTTCAGTCGGAGCTCCAGACAACAAGTCTTTTCCTTCAAAAGTCTTAGGAAAAGCAATAACATCACGAATGCTATTTGTGTTACACAAAATTGATAGTAATCTATCAACACCTGAAAAAAATTAAAACATTTTTATAAAATACAATTTATTTACTAATTAAAAGCGGTTTGCTTTGAATATTTTTACCTAAAGCTATTCCACCATGTGGAGGACAACCAGACTTCAACGCTTCGACTAAATGAGACATAGTCTCAATAGGTATATTTAAAATGGAACCAATAACTTTAGTTTGCAGATCGGCATCATGTATACGAATTGAACCTCCTCCTACCTCACTTCCATTCAATACCAAATCATAATGGAATCCTTTGACCTATGAAAATAATTTAAAATATTACTGGTATAAAAATAAAAAAAAATTCAAAAGTTATAAGAAAAATTATTTTACCTCTAATAAGTTATCAGAAGTAATTTTTGTTTGTGGTTGTGTGAATGGGTGATGAACTGATTGAATTTGATTAGATTCAATTTCAAATAATGGGAAATCAACTATCCAAACAAAACGCCAACGAGCATCACTTGAATTATCTATATCTATTTTGAAATGCTCGTTAATTTTACCCAGTGCTGATAGCTGTAATTTTAAATTAAACATGAAAATAGGTTAAAAATTCAACAAAGTAGTTTCAAAGTAATAACTTACAGCTTTATATTTTGAACCACTAGCAATAGCYACTAAATCATGTTCAGATATATTATCAGCGGTCAGCACAGCTTCAACGTCAATACCATTAATTATTTTTTGAAGGTTTTCTTTGAAAGTTTTTAATAATCTTATATTTAAAAGACTGAATTTAACATCTGGGTAATTAGTAGATATTAATGTTTTTAAATCATTTATCTGTTTCTTTGACAGTTTGTCTTCAGAATTTTTTAAAACAAGTGCAAAAACTTCATTTGGTGCATTTGGTATGTACTTTGTCCAGTTTGAAATCTGTTAATAATAATTAAATATACATTTAATTTAAAAATATTTATGAGCATATATATATATATATATGATAATTATAATTATAACCACAAATTACTTTTTTTATTTTATAAAACACAAAATATTTTTATAGATATAAAAATTGCAAGTTATTGTATGCATAAATAAACATTATGAACGTCACTAATAAAGTAATGCAATATAGATTGGTTAATTTGCATGAAAATTAAGAGCTCAACTTAGTATTGGAATACTTTTCAATATATAATACAGTGTTGCTGTGGTATCTTAATAATATCGGACACAATAAATTAATAACAAATTACTAAGAGTAATAAAGTAGATTAAAATCAACTTTTATCCAAAATATTTGTAAAATAATTTTATAGTATACTTTAAACTGAAGACTCTATCATTTAAA